AGTTTTCTGAATGAAAATATTAAATACGGATATTTCTATCATTCAAAATAACGGTCGAGAAGTCGGCATTTTATGTGATGTTAATGTGAACAAGTGTGATTTAACTTAACATTTTTGGCATGCATTTCTACTAAAATACAAGGAACAAAATGTTCAAAAAATTATTTTTATTTTAGAGGCAATCAAGCCAGTTATCGTTTATCTCAAAATAACTGTCTCATTAGAAAATATATACGACGAACAACCACTTGAACATTGTGAAAGCATTGATAAGGCATTGATTGTCCCTTCAAGTGTTATCTGTTGTATTTGGTATGTTGGTAGCATTGCTTTTGAATGAAAACATTTGATAAAAGTTTTTCCCTTAATCAATCGAACAAGTGAAATCCATTGTAAAGAAAAAATTTGAATAAAACCTATTTATTTGCCAAAAAAACGCATGCAAATTAGTTTAAAACTAGCACTAAGTGTATTAGAAACGAACGATTTTAAAGTTTTGTGAAAAATAGCATAAAATTAAGAATGGTAATGAATACAAGTAAATCGATTGAAAGGTTTCAACTTCAGCATATATCGTCGTCGGATGATTCAAGCAGTTCTTGGCAATTGGTGACCAATTCAATGACTTCAAATCAAAGTATACAAGTTGTGACAAATGGAACTTCATTAAATGGAAAAGTACGAACAATTTCGATAAACATTTCGTTCGAATGGTATTTGAATAATTTTCATTTCTTTAGAAATTGCCAAACAAAGAAACGAGTGAAGTTGTACTGAAAGAGCTTCGTCGTCGATACAATGGACGTAATTCAATGCATCAATCGGAATTTGAGACAGCACAACAATCGATGGAATTGATGCGACAAAATATTCAGCATTTGTTTAATGCTGAAATTGAAGTCATTGTACAGAGATACATCGGGGCAAGTTAAATCTGCATCAAGTTAACATATACATGTATGAATGTTACAAAATATATTCCATTTCAGACATACTTTGAACCAGCTTTGAAGAACGTAAAAGAGAATCTTGAAAATGCCGGAATTACAGACCAATACGTGAGTTCAACCAAATATAATTGCATTTGATTTGAAATTGAGCTGTGAAAAAGAGCACGGTTTGCATGAATTTTCATTTGTTACAGTTGAAAAAGATGAGCTGTGATTTACTTGAACATGCAAAGCAAGGTTATAAAACTTCAAATGGAATAACCACTCTTGAGCCACCAAATTCAATGCTTGAAATGACTGCTGTGCCAAAGACATTGGAAACTAACACTCTTGAACAAGTGTTTTTGTCTTACACAAACGTAAGCGCTCTTTCTTTTTCTTCATTTTTTTTTCTCTCATTTTCATTTGTTTTCGCCTGTTGTGCCTACTATATGTGTAATTGCTGATGGGTTTTTTTTATTGAATTTATTTATAGGCGCCAATTAAACGAAAAGATACCAACGTAACATTACAACGAAGTTTAAGCACAGACCACAGTCCACTACATAAACGATCGCCAATAACATTTCAAAATAAATGCATTAGCCGACCGGGTCAAATCATTTTAAGTGTAACTTTAACGACAGACACATTGTTTACATTTGACTTTAAAGCACACGCAGCATTTGATTATGCGCCAAATGAACGTTTAATAAACAAATATCCCGAATTGATTCATTACATCATCGATCACCAAGACAAAGATTGGTTCATTCAACAAAGAATTCTTTCGCCAATCAATCGTAACGCACACATTTTACTACTTACCATTGAAGAGGTGAATCGAATTGCACATTCGGATATTTTAAAAAATCAACCGTATCCAAAACCAATCGAATTATTTGCATTTAAAATACCCACATTTATACTACAAAAAATGAGAAAATTTATCAACGAACAAGGTGAAAAGAGTAAAACTCTCATTGCAAACACAATTCATCCGAAAGTTTCATTATCAGCACTGCTATCGGCGGCATCGAAACCAACGGCCATCAAAACCATTCAATCCGTCAAACCGATTTTGGTAAAACCGATTATTTTTCTTTTCTTTTTTTATTCGTGCACAGCAACTCAGAAGACTTCTTCAATTGTAATATGATTATTTTTCTATTTTAGAAACCACAATTACAAAATCAGTCACTATCGTCAGTGATTTCGTCCATACAACGTGCAAATTCACAGCCAACAACCGTTTTGCTAGTTGACACAAGCGGAAATGGATCAAAAACAGCAACAATTACCAGCGCATACATCACATCAGATGAAGGTGGTGTCAGTTCACCTGTCATTGCACGAAGCTCATTAAGTTCGTCACATGCCACATTATCTGCATTGTTATCGAATTCACCCACCGAAAAAACGCTAAATTCAATTGTATTAAATGAAATCACCGACTAATTCTAATTAATTGCGCCGCGATCTTTTTTTTCTATTCTGACGAAATAAACAGAAGACGAAAAAAAAAGAAAAAACAAAAATACATCTCAGGTCAAGAAAATTACCCGACGATTGCGTTATCATATATTAATTTTTCGTACATGTGTCCATTCTGTTGATGTAATTATAGTATATTTGAAAAAAACCATAATAAAAACGAATGCGTACTGCGTATCATTTTAAATATATTTTATTAAAGACTTTTCGTCATTGTCCCTTCTCTTCAAATAGCGATTTGTCAATATTGAAGACGTTTGATTTACATGCGAATCTCATAATAATGTAACTTAATGAGCCAATTGAAAACAATGGCAATTATCATCGAAAATTATGCTATTAAAGCATATAAAATTATTATACGTGCGTAATAGCGGTTTTAAAATGGGAATGACCACTTTTCGTATACCACGGAAACACTTAATAGAAATCATGCTTTAAAAACGTAATTTATCTCTTAAATGAATCGCCACCGTGTGCAAATGCTAAAGACATCCATTTTGGCCATCATTAAAGAGATGTCAAAGGTTTTGTTCGAGGTTAAAACACTTTTAGGTTTAAAGATGAACTTGATACATGGCCATTTCTTATGTTAATGAAGAAAAAAACTACGAACAACAATCATTCAGCACAGTAATGCACTCTTCTGGTCAATTATGGAATTAAAGTGTCCTGGCTCAAGGACTCCGTAGTAAGTAAAAGGAAAATATCCCTTTTTAGCTTGGCCATAAACCATT